CCGCTCTTTTACCATCTCTTTTTCCAAGTGTCCATGAGCCAGACCTATAGGACCCGCCCCAATCTCAGCAGGAAGCGCCTCCCATCATAGCAATGACCTGGCCATGCAGCTTCTCCCTCACCTGCCACGCCACTCTGTCTGGCATCCTCCTCCTTCAAAGCCTGGAGGAGGCCAGCTCTGGAGAGAAGCCCTCCCGCCTGTCACCTCATTCATCCTTCTTGTCAACATGTCCCTTGGGTTCTCGGGCCATCATAAAGAGAAGCAGAGGCATCACGTGCAAGCAAAAACAGAGTCTGGAGTGCAGAAGACCCGGGTTCAAGTCTGGCTCTGCTGATTTGAAGCCTGTTTCCTTACCTCACCAGCAATTGTCAGGATCCCATTAGAAGGTGGGAGAAGGCACCCACTCAGGAAAGCACCATCTGCATCGAGATCATCAAACCCTGCTCCCAAAACAGAGAAGGTTCCTAAAGGCTTAATATTCATTTCATCTTTGAAACCCCCAGCAGGATGCTTGGCATACAGCAGGTGCTCAATGGAGGCAAAGAAATCAGTGGGCGCAGTCAGAGCTCCTGCCTGTCACCAAGCCAGGGAGGCTGGGGAAAGACAAGAAATCCATCCCAGCTCCGGGTAGGAGGTATCCGCCTTCCTTGCCCAGAGCATCAGGGCTTCTCAAATACCGTCTGTCCCCACCAGATGTCAGCTGGGCCTGTTTCTAGCAAGAAACAGCCAAGATCTCTCTTAGATGATTTGCTTTGTAAAAATACAAGTCAGCCTCATTAAGAGGAATCTTTAGGAAGGCCCTTATTCACACATCAGTCAAAAGTCAAACCTGGCAAGCATGTCAGCACTCACCTAATTCACCCCCAGTGTTTACAGATGGGGTGATGGGAACAGAGAGGACAAGGAGCTGGTCCCAAGTCAGGCACAAGAACACGGTACCCTGGCAGCGTCTGTGGCCAGAGCTCCGAGCCCTTGGAGGAAAGATCTGGGACCCTAGAACGACAAGCCATGGGGAACACACAAGCCCCAAACCTCAGAGGCTCGTGTTAGATGTTTCACAAACCACACATCCATTGAGGGCTGGCTGCAGCCTGTTCCATGTCATCTTTGCACTGGGACCCAGGTGGGTGGACGGGTGTCTACCTGGAATGTGGCCAACACCAGTGCATAGAGGGAGAAGACAAGTGAACCACGTATCGCCCAAGGCTCAAGGCGTCTGCCTCGGTGACTCGTGCCACCTTTACCCACCTTCCACTGACCAGGATGAGTCCATGCCTGAGTCTAACATAAAACTAGGATGTACAATCCTACTGTGAGGAAGACAGAATTTTTGGCAAGGAGATAAGACTACCAGAGATGCCCAGCCAAACTGCAAAAAGATAAATACATTGATGTACAAGGTCTCACACATCCTCTGACAACAGCAAAAATTTCAGGGCTGGGTGCAGTGGCTTGTGTCTGTAATGCCAGCACTTTGCGGGGCTGAGGCAGCAGGGATCACTTGAGGCCAGGAGTTCAAGACCAGCCTGGCCAACATGGCAAGACCCTATCTCTACCAAAAAGTGAAAAAACAAACTAGTTGGGTGTGGTGGCATATACCTGTGTTCCCAGCTACTAAGGAGGCTGAGGAGGGAGGATTGCTTGAGTCAGGGAGTTCAAGGCTGCAATGAGCTGACCGGACACTGTACTCCAGCCTGGTACCTGGGCAGCAGGTTGAGACCCTGCATTTAAAGAAAAAAAAAAAAAAAAGCAGCAGGGAAGGAGAGGGCAAGAAAGGAAAAAATAAATTCAAGTACTTTACACACCCAATTTCATAGATTATACATAACTTTATAACAACTTGATAATGTGCATTATTTTCAAATACCAACAGAATATTGAGTACGGTCCCCTCCCTGCAAAATGATTCTGAAGTTCATCCGGAAAATTAAACGTGCAAAAGAACCTACAGCTCGGCCGGGCGCGGTCGCTCACACCTGTAATCCCAGCACTTTGGGAGGCCGAGGCAGGCAGATCATGTGGTCGGGAGTTCAAGACCGGCCAATGTGGTGAAACCCCATCTCTACTGAAAAATACAAAAATTAGCTGGGTGTGGTGGCGCATGCCTGTAATCCCAGCTACTTAAGAGGCTGAGGTAGGAGAATTGCTTGAACCGGGACCAGGGAGGCGGAGGCTGCAGTGAGCCGAGATCGTGCCATTGCACTCCAGCCTGGGCTAGAGTGAGACTCCATCTCAGAAAAAAGAACCGACAACTTTTTGAATAAGGAAGGACATAAATAAGGCTGTCAGTATCAGTGTGATGGTGATCAATGGAATAGTCTAGGCCATAAAAGTAAAATCATTGATCTCTCCTGTCACAGTATTTTTTCCCACTAAGTTCCAAAGCTTTTCCACCAACTGACCATTTCATCACTATGGCAGTTACTTGGGGACGTGGACTGGGGCAAGATGAACCTACGCTGCTTTAGGAGTGGCGGGGAAGAGCACCTGGCCTGAGGTGGCAGCCTGGTTTTGAGACAGCTCTGCTCTAACAACAAACCACTTTCCAAAGTCACCATCTTCTGTCTCTTGGGTCTGCTCACCTACAAAAAGGTCCCTGCCTCCCCAGGTTGTGTCAAGTACTGTTACTTGTAAAAGAGCACAGCGTGACACACCATACGCACTCCCTAACTCCAGCTACAACTCTCATTTTACCTTAGAACTGACATCAGTTGGCCAGGCTCGGTAGCTCACACCTGTAATCCCAGCACTTTCGGAGGTCAAGGCGGGCGGATCATGAGGTCAGGAGATAAAGACCATCCTGGCCAACATGGTGAACCCCCCCGACTCTACTAAAAAAATACAAAACATTAGCTGGGTGGCACGCACCTGTAATCCCAGCCACTCAGGAGGCTGAGGCACGAGAATCACTTGAACCCGGGAGGCAGAGGTTGCAGTGAGCCGAGTTTGTGCCACTGCACTCCGGCCTGGTAACAGGCTTGAGACTAACCTAAAAAAAAAAAAAAAAAGAACAAACTGACATCAGTTATCACCTGGCAGATGTGATGTCTACAAGTGGCATACCTGAAGTTGTACGAGGTATAGCAGTAACCCTAGAACCCAGCCTCCATGGTGGCGCCCCAGAGACCAGAAGGGCAGTAGTGACACCAATACCTGCAGTGAGAACAGGGCGGAGGCTCCAGCCTCCTGCGTCCAGCATTCCACCCGTCTCCCCTACACCCTGGGCAGATTACAGGTCTCTCGCCAGCACTGGTTTCTCCCATGAGTTTCCAATACACACCAAGACATCCCCTTACCCACAGGTAATTCAAAGAGGGCATCACAAATGCACTTGCCCAGACAGTGGACTTGCAGAGTGATGGCACAAGGACCTCCATAAATCTGATCCTCCTTAAGAGCAATGAGATTTCTGGCAAAGCGGTTATAAGTCAAGTTTTTCAGCAATCTGGAAATCAATCAAAGGCCTGTGACAATCTGAGAAGCATTTATTTGAGGAGTACAAGTCTTTCACCAGCCTCCGGCTCGCTCTTCCTCTGGCATTCCAAACAGAGTCTAATGGAGGCACCCCTGCAGGGTAGGACTCTAAGGCCTGGGAGTCCTGGGTAGCAGCCCATCCACTCGTTAAAGCCCAGGGGGCTTGCTCTGAGGATCCTGACTTCGTCGTATCTTGTCTGTCCCAGGCTCCATCGCAGAGGAATCCCTTTTACCTCGTCATGACTACCCTAGCTCGTGTCCACACCTCCACCTCACCCATACTTCCTGCACCAGAATCATGTTGTGATGTTTGAAACCGCTCAATGGTTCCCTGGAGAGAAAAGCTAAATCAGCACAAGAGGCTCTGTGGGCTCTCCCTAAGCTACTTGGAAGGCTTCTGTAAACCCTTTCATGCTCCAGCGATGCTGGGTTATAGAGGAAAACCTTAGACCTGGGTCTAAGTGTATGGTGACTTTGGCCAAAGTCACACCCAATTCCTGCCAGGACTTAAATAGAGGCTAAGGCTAAGACTGCAGGAGAACTACCTGGGACCAAGCCCTGTAGAAGTAGAGGGCATTGCTATGATTCAACTGCCTACAACGTTGATACCATTACCTTACAGATGAGGGAAGCAGAAGCTGTTAACCACACAGGTGGGAACCTGGACTGAGGGGAAGATGGGCACCTGACAATGGCCACAGCTCAGGCTCACGGGGCTGGACTGAGGGGAAGATGGGCACCTGACAATGGCCACAGCTCAGGCTCACGGGGCTGGACTGAGGGGAAGATGGGCACCTGACAATGGCCACAGCTCAGGCTCACGGGGCTGGACTGAGGGGAAGATGGGCACCTGACAATGGCCACAGCTCAGGCTCATGGGGCTGCAGCCTTTGGCCAGGACAGGGAGGGGAAGGAGAGCAAGCCAGCTGGGTTGGAACCGGGAGGAGCTCCCAGGAGAGGGTGTGGGGTGGGTAGGATACCTGAATGACCCTCAGGCTATCTCACCTCTCTAAAGACTAGAGTTCAAGCACAACAGCCCTTAAGCCAGAGGCCTTAAACGCAGGAAGACTTGGGGGGCGGGGCGGGGGGGGTGCGGGGAGTGGGAGTAGGCCTGGGCCACAGTGATCAGAGCCTCCTTTAAGACGAGTAGCCGTTAAATTGAGGCAGTCTCTTTTCCCATAACCTGTATTTTTTACATCAATGATCGTCACTATAGATTAAATAACCTCATGGATCTATTAAGAAGGTACAACCAAAGAAGACACAACCCGTTCTGGAAGCCAGTGCTTTAAACTGAGTCTGGGTAGCTGATAATGCAGTGAAGGAAGTCAGGACGCTTGGCTGCCACCTGGTGGGACAAGGAGATGAAAAGGCCAGACAGAAATTTCTGGCCAAAAAACAAGTGAGTCTCCTATAGAGGCGGTTGTGTGGGGCCTGTGATCCAGCTCGCCACACTTACCACCCCACTCTTCGCTCTCCACCCCGCAATTCTTCACCACTGGAAAAAAATGGACTCAAAGCTATAGTTCATACAATTGAAGATTTATGTAAGTTACTTAAGTAACTGCATAATGCTGAAGCCAGTCTAAAAAAGAATCAAACACACCACTGCAAGTTAATTCAATGAGTTCCTTTTTTTTTTTTTTTTTTTTAAACAGATTTGTACAGCAAAAAATTCTCAGATCACAGTCTCTACCCTACAGTCACCCGTCCAATGCACAGGAAGCCACAGGGGCTCCGGCCACAGGAACCAAGGTTGGCAGCTGACTGCAGAATTGACTTCTACTTACAGGTGACATGTGGCTGGAAAAATCTTGAGTTCCCTTTGTTCTCCAGTGTATCTTGTACAAAATATTACATTTGTTTAAACACATATTTACAGAGTTTGCACAAATAGAAAATGGTTACAAATTACAACCAGGCTTGGCAGGATACCAGTTCCCCCCTCTCCACACTGACCAAGGTCGGAGGTGTGATGACCATTTCGTATTTACATTTGCAGTTTAAAAAGTCTGTGTTTAGAGACCTAGATGAAGTTTATAAAAACTGGTTAAAATGTCATCAATTCATGTATGTAAGCTGTACAAGTAGTGGATACCAATTAGTCCGTTCATGTCTTGCTCCCTGAAGAAAGATTGTGAAGTAGAAGAAACCCTCTCAAGCAAGCAACATACATCTCTGGCCTGGGTACCAGTTTGTTTGGTTTTTGCTGGGGAAGGATACAGAAGGAAGAAGAGAATGGAACGGGGGAAAAGGACAATCTGGTTGAGACCATTTCTATTCCCTTTGTTTTTTTAAACAGCTGAGAACCAGGATCAGCCAGCTGGCCTGTTAAATACTATCCTTTGGCTTTGAGAAGAACCCCATAGTTCCATCCTTTTCTCTCAGAGACGAAAGGTTTCTCAATAGGACTACAGTATGGAGGAAAAAAGGACTTTCTGGAGAGGACAATGTTTGTTATTCTGATGTTAATCTTTGACTTGAGTGCCAAGCCTAATTTCAACAGTGCAAAAAAGACTCTCAGGAAGCAGCATGGGGAACCGGAGGTCAAAGGCTTGCGTAGTAGCTGTCTACCCACTGGGCAAGGCCTCGCTCCACCAGGGACCGGTTTATCAACACCACCTGGAAAAGAAAGTTCCCTTAAAGCTTTGTCCACGGCACCTTGGGGCCATCTCCCAAGCCAACTTGAGTTCTCCCCTCTCCAATCACCAACGCAGGCAACAGACGTACAAGAGTAACAGGGTAGACTGGGCGCGGTGGCTCATGCCTGTAATCCCAGCACTAAGAAAGGCTGAAGCGGGTGGATCACCTGAGGTCAGGAGTTCGAGACCAGCCTGGCCAACATGGTGAAACCCCATCTCTAGGAAAAATACAAAATTAGCGGGGCGTGGTGGCAGGCACTTGTAATCCCAGCTACTGAGGCTGAGGCAGAATCGCTTGAACTCCAGAGGTGGAGGTTGCAGCGAGCAAAGATCATGCCATTGCATTTCAGCATGGGCAACAAGAGCAAGGCTCCGTCTCCCAAAAAAAAAAAAAAAGAGTAACAGGGTGGGGGACATGGCTTATGCTCTAGCCAACAGGGACATTTAAGTGTTCTGTTGCCTGCTGTGGCATGGGAATACACTTTTTTTTTTTGAGACAGGGTCTTTCCTTGTCACCCAGGCTGGCGGGCAGTGGTACAATCGTGATTCACTGCAACCTCTGTCTTCCAGATTCAAGTGATTCTCCTGCCTCAGCCTCCCAAGCAGCTGGGATTACAGGTGTGCTTCACTATACCCAGCTGATTTTTGTGTTTTTAGTGGAGATGGGGTTTCGCCATGTTGGCCAGGCTGGTCTTAAACTCCTGAACTCAAGTGATCTGCCCTCCTCGGCCTCCCAAAGTACTGAGATTACAGGCATGAGCCACCGCACCTGGCCAGGACAGGCTTTTTAATATGTTGAAGAAATTTAAGCTTTCATACAGTAAGATGAAGGATAGAAAAACCCAACAGATGGAAAGCCCCAGAAGGTCTCGCACAGGGTTTCTCCACCTCAACACTAAAAACATTTGGGGCCGGATAATTATTTGCTGTGGTGGGGGCTGTCCTGAGTACTATGAGATGTTTAGCAGCATCCCTGGCCTCTATCCACTAGAGACATTAACATCACCACCCCCAATCAGGATATCCAAAGTGTCCCCTGGGAGGTGCTGGTCTACAGTCATAGCCTTTAACTCAAGAGGAAACCAATTCCAGAACCAGCTCCAAATCAATCCACTACTTTGGGCCAGGAACACAGAAGGAAAAGAAGGGCAGAACTTACTTCATCTCCAACCACACTCCACAGCTGAATCAGAGGAAGACCAGTTGGACTATAACTTGTCACCTGAAGAAGAGGGGGAAAAAGTATTGATATGGTTTTGTGTCCCCACTCAAATATCACCTTGAAGTATAATCTCTATAATCCCCATGTGTCCAGGGAGACCTGGTGGAAGGTGATTGGATCCTGGGGTGGTATCCCCATGCTGTTCTCATGATAGTGAGTTCTCATGAGATCTGATGGTTTTATAAGTATCTGACAGTTCCTCCTTCACATACTCAGTGTCTCTTGCCTGCTACCATGTAAGCTGTGCCTCTTCCCTTTCTGCCATAATTGTCAATTTCCTGAGGTCTCCCCAGGCCCGCAGAACTATGAGTCAATTAAACCTCTTTCTTTTATAGATAACCCAATCTCGGGTATTTCTTTATAGCAATATGAGAACAGGCTAATATCAAGTATTAGCTATTTCATGCACCTTTCCTTAAATACTGTTGGTCAATCTAGGGCCAAGCCACATTTAAAGGCATTTAAAGGTCAGTCCCCAGGAACCTAGCCAACCTGCCTCCCCACACCCCCGCCACCCACACACCTGAGCCAGTAGTGCTGTATTCCCTGTCATCTCGCTCATGGCGGCATCTGCCTCCGGTGAAAAGTGGTCATCATCTTCAGGAAGAAAAAGAAAAGCGGCATTTAGACTCTCACTAAGGCAAGGTACCCTTGTCACGTGCACAAGTTTCAGTAACATTCCCAGCAGAATGCTTCAGATGCTGTGGGATTTGAGAACTGCACTGGGGAGATCCACCCATGTCAGGGACAGAGCCTAGACCTCTGTATGACTCCCCGTGGTGGTGCTGCTGCATGCTGCCCACTGGAGTACAGACAACAGGTGAACAGAAACGCTTGCCTTCACCACTGCCACCACCAATACCGCCAGCAGCAGCAGCACCACCACCACCAACTCGGGTGCGGGCAGTAGAGAGCATGTAGTATGTGTTCTTCCACCAAATTAGTAACACCAAGTGCTATCCCCAACTTTATAGGAGAGAACACTCAGGCAAAGGTTGATTCAACCAGCTCCCAAGTGGGAAGGTGGGAATGAAACCCAGGCAGTTGGCCACACAACTCAATAAGGGCAGCTACTCAGTGGGCAAGGCCCTGAGGCAGCATTCAGCTTTGCTGGATCACAAAAGTTACATAGAACAACATATCCAAGGCAAGTGAGGTAAGGATGGGAGACAGGGGTTTATCAAGGAAGATCTGGGAAAATCTTATGAAGGAGAGTTTCAGCTGGGTCTGGACAGAAACAGAGAGAAAGGAGAGGCAACAGCAATAAAAGAAGCAAAACAAAGATCTTGTCCCAGTGCTTCCTCTGACCCGACTCTAGCTGGACTGTAGAGTTTCTAATGCATGCAATGGCTTAAGCAAAAGGAAGACAGAAGGGGCAAACCTGGGGAGGGAGTGGGATGGGATGAACTATCACCTACAGATAGAAAATTCCTAGCCATAAACGGCTGCCATTTCACTATCCTCTAGACACCAGATCCTGGGCTTATGTAATTCTCACAGCCAGCATGAAAAACAGGTACCATTCCCACGTTCTGGGGCGAAAACTGAGGCTAAGTAATTTGGCCAAGATTTTGCCAATCCTCTTCCCTCTGTCAATGCTTTTGCAGTCTAAGACACCAGATAGGATGTCCCCACTGTGACCCTATGGAGCTATGGCCTGACTGAGCAGTTTCAGTGACCAGCACACCCTCAAACACCAGGGCTAAGACTCTGGGTCTAGACCATGATCTGGAAAGTGCCTTTGTTGGAAGTCCCTCAATGCCTGAGGTCTGAGTACAGACTAGAGCAGTGGACCTCAAAGGCTGTTCCATGGATCAACAGCACTGGTCTCCCCTGGGAACTTGACAGCAATGTAAGTTCCTGGGCCTGAGCCCAGACCTATTCAATCAGAAACTCTCGAGTGGCAGCAACCTATGTTAGCATAAGTCCTCCAGGTGAGAACGGAGGCTCTAAGAGAGAAAGGCCTACTCTCAACAACTGTCCTTCACAATCCCCCAAGCCAAGGGCCCCACCTGTTACCTGACAGGGGCATCACGCTGTCCAGAAGGACTTCTGCTCCCTGAAACGGCAGGGTGACAAAGTCAGACCTGGAAAGGCAAGAGAGAACAAGTTTAACGTGGACATGAAGGCTGACTCCACTCCAAGCCAGTAGTTACCTTTGGACAGCGACACCTATAACCTAGGATGCAGCAGAGCAGAGAGTTTGTACTTCACAGCAGGCCACGGCTCACAGCACACCCAAACACAGGCAGTCAGCCCTGCTACAAGCCTGACCTCAGAGGGACTTCCTACAGCAAATTCCTAAAAAGGAGCCCACTTCACTTTTCTCCTTTTTTTTTTTTTTTTTGAGGTCTTGCTACAGTGCCCAGGCTGGTCTTGAACTCCTGGGCTCAAGCGACCTTCCCAAAGCGCTGGGACTACAGGCATGAGCCATCACACCTGGCCCAGCTTCGCTTTTGAAGGATGATGCTGGGGATTCTTCTATACCATGGGCCTTCTAGCTCAGTTTGCCTGAGGCAAGTAATCGAGTTTGTTTCTATCAGACTCTGCTAAAACACAGTAGGCAGCAGGAGGGAAGAATTAACCCTCACCCAAGGCCTGGCACAACTGAGCCAGCCCGGCAGAGATGGCACATCCCAGAATGAGCAGGGCGTAGGCCTGTCTGAGGCGGCTGCACTCACCTGATTTGCCGGAGCACGTCTACCTTCACCCTCTTATATCCGCCATAGTCCACATATCGAATCTCCACTTCGTTGGTCTCTTCGTAGGAGGCCACCACCTGGGCTCGCCACCAGGCCCCATCCGCACCAGGGGCGGCACAGATAACTGTTACTGCAGGCCAGAGAGAGGAGTGTGTGGAACACCCGGTCCAGGGCAGGGCACCAAGGGCCACGTGGCCGCTACCCACCTCCCTGCGTTACCTCTCAGAGGCCTGCACCTCTGCAGTGCAGGGGACAGGAACAGCAATGGGCCCCAAGCAAAGCCTCCCTGGAGCCCAGGACCAGCCGAGCGAAGAACCTGGATGTGAGAAGTTCAGCCTAGCAAGTGTGCCACCCCCGAAGCCATCCGGACTGAAAAGCACTCAGTCCAGATCCGTTACTCTGAACGTACTGGGACCCAAGAGGGACACAGATAAATACGAACAAACCAAGGAAATATAGTACTCGGGAATGGGGGCCAGGGCCAGCCTTACATTTAAGAAAAAGTCCCTGGAGAAACCAAGTGCCACAGATCTGAGGATCCTCGTACCTAGGGTCTGCTCCAGCCCACAACTCAGATGGAGAGCTTGACTAGAAGGGGCCTCCTGGGCCCCCTTCTAGCCTTTGCCTCTGGAAAGTGCTGGGAGCTCCCGGGCAGCCACCCAGGATCAAGGGGTCACTAACCCCCTGTGGGGAAGAGGCAGATGAGACCATGGAGTACAGGTTCCCAGCAGCACCCCAACAGCTGCCCCAGGCTGGCCAGGATGAGAACCTGTGACATGAGGCTGACTGTGCGGGGTCCTGCCCCTTAGAGAGAGTCTCTGGCAGTTACCCCTCGGGCTCTGGTTCAGTCTTTACTGCTGGGTTAAGGTAACTTTAGAGAAGCTGATGAAAACTAAGTCCTTATCCTTCCAAAAGGAAAAAATGTGCACAAAAAGCTACAGATTCCTCTCTGATGAGGAATGGGTGATGTTCTGACATTCCATCCTAAGGGCAACAAAGGTAACAATGACAAAGGCTAGGCTCAGACCCAAGATTCCGCTCACAGAGGCAAGTCACTTGATTTCTAAGACTCAGTTTTCTCATCTGTTAAATGGAGATGACTCAATCCACTGCATAACCTCGCTGGACTTAGGGATTTTTTAATGGTAACTGGTATATGCATCAGGTGCTTTATATGTAACACATACAGTATTCAACACTAGTTCCTGGAGCAGGTGGATATCATCCCCTTTGACAGATAATAAATAAATAGGTAGGAGAAACTATGACACTGGTTTTAAGGGGAAAAAAAGTAAAAAATAGTAAGTGGCAGAGCTGGGATCTGAATCCCTGTGTCAAAATTCTACTTCAACACCCATCACTCCACCAGCCAGTGGACACCCCAGCTCTGCCTACCCAGGAAACCCACCCCAGCTCCATAACAATGGCAAGAATTCAGATATGCTGTTTCCATGAAGGATCCCAGAACAGCCTCCTCCTGCTCAGGATCCAGGGCAGAACAGGCAACTCTAGGGCCCGCCTTCCCAGCCCCTCAGAGCACTGCTTACTTTCCACCGGCGTGGGCAAGGTGGGGATTCCAGGCTGAGAGTAGCAGAGGTACATCTGCTGGTCGAGGCTGCGCAGAGCGTGGAAGGTAGGGTGTGTGTGCTGCTGCACAAACAGGTGTCCGGCGTTGACCTGGTTGACCACAATGACCTCCACAGTAATGCCATCAGGCAGCATGAGCTGTAGGGAGGAAGGAGCAGCGGTCACTGAAATAATCCTTCTCATCTCATGTTTGAGTAAGTCCCGAGGCCCAAGGGCAAGTCTCTGGGCTGGCATATCTTTGAAAAGGGCAACTCAAGGCAACATGGCACCCAGAAGGCAGAGGTTGAAGGACTACTTTGACAATACAAAGTGTTCGACACCCCTGCGGCTGTGTCCTGCAATACCAAGAGCAGCCATTAGGGGCAGCCTCACCTCAGGGCCAGGCAGAGAAGGTCTCAGATACTGAGCAACCAAGAAGCAACTGTGGAGGCAGTGCTGGGCCTTGCACAGGCCTGGGCAGGGTCCACCTGCCAGTGTTGCCCTCCCTCCCACTTTTGTCGATGAATCTCTAAGACCCAGGGAGGGCAAACACAGGAACGAGGTGGCCACTGAGAACAAGACTCCTGAAAATTAGTAGGCAGGCCCTCAGGCCTTTCAGCCCACACCTGTGGACTGGCAGCTGACCCCAGGAGCCTGTGGTCTGACAGCATCTACGCTGCCTTCCCAAGAGAAAGCAGTGGCCTCAGGTCAGGTCCATGGTCAAGGTCTAGTAGAGTCTGCACCCTGTTTGCTCTCCCTCCTACTGCTTTATCCTCTGTTGTTCCAAGTCCTGGTCCTATTCTCAACATTCCATAGACACCCCTAATTCATTCCACTTTGGGATTTGGAATGCAGGTTTCCTCAGTGGCCAGACTCCATATTAAAGGTCCTAGAAGAGGCCACCACTATTCTCTAAAAGACTTGTCCTTAACACTGGCTGCCCAAGGCCAAGCTGCGAGCAACATCTAAGGGCTCCAGACAGTCGGGCATCTATGCTACCTTCCAGCCAGGTGGTCACAAGGAGAAGAGCTTCTGGCTAAGAGTCCTGGCCCCGTCCTCAGAGGTTCAGAGGTATCTGGAATCATCCCTCCAGTCCCACTGAGCCAAGCAGAGTACCAAGAAAGAAATTATCTGTACAAACCAATCTATTTAAAAAAGAGAGTGAAAGGCTGGGCACCACTGCGCCTGTAATCCCAGCATTTTGGGAGGCCAAGGCAGGTGGATCACCTGAGGTCAGGTGTTCGAGACCAGCCTGGCCAACATGGTGAAACTATGTCTCTAATAAAAATACAAAACTTAGCCAGGTGTGGTAGTGCACGCCTGTAATCCCAGCTACTCGGGAGGCTGGGGCAGGAGAATCGCTTGAACCTGGTAGGTGGAGGTTGCAGTGAGCCACAACTGTGCCACTGTATTCCAGCCTGGGCAACAGAATGAGACTGTCTCAAAAAAAAGAGTCCAGGACCAAGCCTCCTGGAAGAAACTCTTGATTCAGGAGTAAAGCATAAAGTGGGGTTCAGCCCACTCTCAAATATCCACAGGAAAAAAACATCCCAGTCCTCTCCCTCCAGCACCGGGGTCTTTAGAAAGGGGAAAATACAAAACCGAACTGCCTACCATCCTTAAAAAACTAATAATAATAATAATAAAAGCCCAGGAGGGCAATTTCCTTGGAGAAGCACAGTCAGCCCATCTGTGTAAAATGCGGTCCATAGTCTTTGGCCCGCAGAACTCTGTAATTATACTCTCAGTGAGAGGAGGCCCAACCAGGGTCAGAGGCACGCTGTAGGATATGGGTGACAGCCCTGAGAGACCCTGCAGCCAGCAGCATACAGGGGCCCTGGAGATGGTAGCTCTTCCCTCTGCCAAACTCCTGGAGCAAACTCCAAAGAGTCACTGGACTCCTGGGCCTGGTGGGGAGTACTGACTCCTCTCTATAATTTAGGTACCTCCTGGGGTGGGGGAGGGGGAAGGGGAAGGAGATCCTTCACCAGGGCCACTGCTAAGGCCTGACTCAACCAGAGGAAGGAACAAGCACCATCCAAACCCATGATTCTACTCCCACCCAGGTCTCAGATGCTGAACGGCAACCCTGTACACAGCCAATCTCCAGGCTGAACTACATCATCCTTTCTAAGCAAATGCCTAGAAAATGTAAAAGGTGCCCAGGAGGCAGAGCCAGGGAAAGTGGTCCTCCCGTGTGGGGACCAAGAGGCCTCTGGTTTCCTATCAGCACTGCCACCACCTAACCCTTGTCCCCAGAAAACAGGCCCATAGCAGAAGCAACCAGTGGAGGCCAGAGGGGAGAGGGCACAGACACTCACGTGCCCTTAGCCTTCTTAGCCTGAATCTGGCGAGTTTCTTGTTTGGGGTAGATTTGGGGGAGGAGGCAGGAAGTCCAGGAGCATGCTCACCCAGGATGTCATCGGCAGAGAAGGCAGCGCCAGCGAAGGCAATGGGGGAGCGTAGATATTGGTGAGGTTCAGCTCCTTGAACTTCTTCCCAATCAAGGTCAGTGCTTTGTCTACATGATGCTGAGAGCCTAAGGAGGGGATGGGGCAGGACACACAATCACTGTAAGAGGAGAGTCAGACACACACTCACAAAAACTCAGCCACATACCCCACTCCACGGGACTGTGCATAGAGTTCATGTGCATCTTTGAGGTACCAAAACACTTAAGCTCTGCTTTAGGAAGAAAGGCATCTAAACCTTTCAAATGATACCTCTGCCATTATGGTCCATGCTTTCAATGCAACAGGAAGAGGCAGGCCACTCAGAAAAGGCCACAGGGGAACTGCACACAGGGTGTGCGATTTGAGAGGAGCCTTCATGGGGTGGTGGGCACTATGAACTCAGGACCCCGGCCCCGCCCAACCAAGCACCCTTACTTCTCCTGGCCAAAGACCAGAGTAGGGAGGGACCTGAGTCTCCTGTGGGCACCTGAACTGGGGGAAAGGCTGTAAGTAAGATACTCAATGCTCCCTTCCCTGGGACAAGAAGCGGGGTTTCCTACTCCAAAAGGATAGCAATTGAAACTCAGATGCTATTGACCTCCATGTAATTTAATTTTAGGGAAGAGGCAATACAAGCAGCAGATGCCACTGACCTTCTATGTGGCAGATCTGGACACTCTGGGTGTAAGGCAGGGTTGAGATGTAGATCTTGGCACCAGACGTTTGCTTCAGAAAACTCACATACCGCCCCTGCTTGCCTATTAGCCGACCGACTAAGTGCTTCCAGAAAGAGAAAAAGAGATGAGAGGGTTAACGGAAAACCAATTCCCTGGACACCCAAAGACCTACTTCTGTTTTACACAAGATCATACTCAAACATATGAGCTGTCACCACGTCAGCATTTATTTTCCAGGACTATTCTAAGCACTTACATTTACTCATAGTACCTATGAAACAGATAAGTTTACCACCGTTCTGTAGATGGGGAAACAAGCCCAGAGAAGCTAAGGAACTACTTAAGGTCACACAGCTGCTAACCAAGCAGTCTGGCTCCAGGACCCAGCAGTCCCCACTTCATCCCAATAATGTGGCCCAGATCCAGAAAGCTACAAAAGCAGCAGCATCTTCTCTAAAACCCACGCCGAGAAGTTTCACCAGCACACAATTTCACGTACCCCTTTCCCTCAAGTCTATTCAGATTCAAAAATAAAGGGGCTCCATTTGAAAATGAAGGTTTGACAGGCGCGGTGGCTCACGCCTGTAATCCCATCACTTTGGGAGGCCAAGGTGGGTGGATCACGAGGTCAGGAGTTCAAGACCAACCTGGCCAAAATGGTGAAACCCAGTCTCTACTAAAAACAAAAAAATTAGCCAGGCGTGGTGGCGGGCACCTGTAATCTCAGCCACTCGGGAGGCTGAGGCAGAGAATTGCTTGAACCTGGGAGGCAGAGGTTGCAGTGAGCCAAGATTATGCCACTGCACTCCAACCTGGGTGACAGAGTGAGACTCCATTTCAAAAAAAGAAAAAAGAAGGTCTAAAACCCATTTTTTTTTTTTTGAGATGAGCACGAGGCATGCAGAAATGCCCAGTGCGCCAGAGTTCAAGGCAGACAGAAGCAGCCAAACTTAGCCCTTAAGTAAGATGAGCTCCCACACAACCCCCAACGACCCCTCCCAGCAGAGCTCCTGGGGACATGGTCCCTTCCTCAGGCACAGCCTTTCTCATCATGCCCTTTGTAACCACTGAAGGAAAAGCAGGCAAGAGAGGTAATAGGGTCCCCCAGAGAGGAAAGTACCAAGAGAGCTTGCAACCCAGAGTCAAAACAGCCACTGTGACCCAGAGTTCAGACCAAGCCAACTCTCCACCTGAGCACAGAGCTGAGGGCCCTGGGAGAATGTGGTCTGACAATTATTTCTGAGCCTCAGAGATAAACATCAAGATCAAGCTAATATGTTGCAAGTTCTAACAGCAAGAAGCTCAAAACCAGCCAGGCACGGTGGCTCGAGCCTGTAATCCCAGCACTTTGGGAGGCCAAGGCGGGCAGATCACGAGGTCAAGAGATCGAGACCATCTGGCCAACATAGTGAAACCCCGTCTCTACTAAAAAATACAAAAATTAGCTGGGCGTGGTGGTGTGTGCCTGTAGTCCCAGCTACTCGGGAGGCTGAGGCAAGAGAATTGCTTGAACCTGGGAGGTGGAAGTTGCAGTGAGCCGAAATTGTGCCACTGCACTCCAGCCTGGTGCCTGGCGACAAAGTGAGGCTCTGTCTCAAAAACAAACAACAAAAAAGCTCAAAACCACTTAAGTGCTCAGGAATGGGGGACTGATGAAGTAAACTGACATTCACACAATGAATAATGCAGTTAAAATTACATTTTCAAAGAATAACACATGAAAATTAAATTGTTAAATATTTAAAGTATTAATTAAAGCGACATAATCTCAGTTTTGTTTAAAAACCACAGGGTGCAAGATGAGAAGGAAATAAAAGTCTTTCACAGTCACTCTCAGGGGTAGGATTAGAGCTGATTTTTATTTTCTGCATATATTTCTATACTTTTCAAGTTCTCTAAAACATGGATGTATGCTTTGCTCAATTATAAAATATACTTTATATTGGAGCACTTGAGCAGAGCTCAGTGAAGGGATTCTGGCCCCCACGGCCTTGGTATGGTTTTTTTTCCAAATAGACCTGAGCCCCAGAATATCGAAGAACCACTCCCACGGGAGATACACAGGCCTTCGAATTTGAGAAGTACAAGAAGCAGCAGCTCCTGGAGACAGCTGGAGGAATTCCATGTTGCAGAAAGCTCTCTGAGCCTTGGCAAAGAGTGTGTCCTTTCCCTGCAGCCTCTGGCTGACCCGGGGCCCCTTCTGGCTTACTGTCCCTCTCCCGGCCTCCTCCCCCAGGTCTAATGGCCCTGGCCCCAGGGAGCTTTGAGCTTACCACGGAACCAGCCTGGGGGACGCCGCCCCTACCTTTGGCACCTCGATCTCCCAGATGATGAGGTCGACCTTCTTAGGGTTGGAGCCTGCCTGGGCATTCTGGACGCTCTCAGTCTTCTTGAGACCACAACAGCTATCCACGGAATCCATGCTGTTCCTGTCCGAACCTGCAGGGGAGGGAGCAGCAGGCGTGCACACACACAGACCCCAGCTCAGAGCAGCCAGTAATCCAGAACTTCCCAAACTCGCGTTCCCGGAGGCCCTGTCCCACACCCACTCCTCAAGCTTGGCAGGTGACTGTCAACTTACAGTCTAGAAGGCTCAGAACAATCCCAATGAAAGGAGGACTGGGGGTGTCGATACACCTAATTTTAGCCTGTCACTTTCAGTCCCACTTGCTTAATTGGCAGCCGAACCCAGCCACAGCTGCAGGAGCAGAGACGCAAGTGGTGAAGTGGGAAGACACAGACTGTGCCCGGGGAAGGGGAGCCCACAGGGCAGAGGAGGAGACAGGCTTGAGGTCCTCATGGTCCTAGGAGCCAGACCGATGACCACAAACACCTTGACACCCTAGCCCAGCCCCTCAGACAAAGGGTCGGTCACCTGTCCCCAAGGCCCAGGTCACAGGTACTGGCCCTCAGCCAAGCAGAGCTAGACAAAGTCCTCACTGGCCTGCCTGAGGGCCCCATTCTTATATTCAGCAGGGACCTACTCGTTCCCCTGCTAGATGTGGACAAAAGAAAGTGTGCAACGCTGAACACCCTTCTGGCTCAAATAATCTCTTGGTCAAAAGACTGAGACAAAGCTCATGCCCAAGAAATCCCAATGGGAACAGGGTTCTGGTCCTGACTTGGGCTCAAGAGTATGCCAAAGGGACTGTCACAAAAAAGCAGGTCCAGCTGGGCACGGTGGCTCAAGCCTGTAATCCCAGCATTTTGGGAGGCTGAGGCGGGTGGATCATGAGGTCAAGAGATCGAGACCATCCTGTTCAATATGGTGAAACCCCGTCTCTACTAAAAATACAAAAAATTAGCTGGGCATGGTGGCGCGTGCCTGTAATCCCAGCTACTCAGGAGGCTGAGGCAGGAGAATTGCCTGAACCCAGGAGGCGGAGGTTGCGGTGAGCGGAGATCGAGCCATTGCACTCCAGCCCGGGTAACAAGAGTGAAACTCCGTCTCAAAAAAAAAAAAAAAAAAAAAAAAAAGCAGGTCCAGACCAGCTCAAGAAAAGTGGCCCTGGCTTAAATATGGATGACTCAATCACCAGAAACAGATCACTCCTGAGAGTCTGCCAATTAGGTTTCTACATGGTTTCTCCAAACCCTGGGCAGAATCCTTTCCCAAGCAACCCACACGCTGGATGCAGAAAACTAAGGCCCGAGAGATCCAGCTAAGGAAGAATCACCTTCAAAGTGACTTCCCCCCTCACACTAGGGGCTTGGAACAGGATTCATGCAGGGAAGAGTAGCCCTTCTGGGGGAAGACTGCTTGGCCAGCCTGCCGGAAGCACAACAGACTGACGAGGGTTGGGGAAGGGGCCGGAACCTCTGCTTACTCACAGCCCCCAGCCTCTGTCCCACAGAATGGGACTGGCTAACACCTGCCATCCCGAGGGCTCCCAGCAGTGGCTCAGAAAATCACACCAGGGCTCTAGCAGGCTGCACTCAAAGGCCAGCTTCCAGCTCCCTCAGTGGGGTGGTCCCTGGACCCTTCTCAGCTTCAACTTCTTCATACATAAAGCAGGGCTGACGTGAGGGTGCACGTGAGGCACCGACCTGGTGCTGGGCACCCACTGTGTGCTCGTGGACAGTATTATTTGGACAGTATTATCTGACTTCTGCCCACCATCCCTAAACCTCCCTGCCCATCGCCATGGCTAGGTTCGGGCCTAAACTCAGAAGACTTCAACAGGTCTAGGTAGCTACTACTATCCATCTAGCATTGGCAGGCAAGGATGCAGGGCTTGTTAATTCAGCTGAGGGGCAATAAGCAAAGGGAAACTCCGTCATTCTTAAATAAAATAAACATCACCCATTTTAAGAGGCAATATTTTAAGAAACATTTAAACATCCCTAGATTAGGGTGCATCGTATAGTTATCTTGCCTTCTATAATCATGACTGGCAGCACTTTTTTCTTTCCAAGGTACATAAAAACAGCAGTGTCTTAACAGCATCTTGGAGGTGACAAAATGGAGTGTGTGGTACAAACCAGAGGCTGCTCAAAGTAGTAAAATTCCCAGTCAAGATTCCCAACCCTCCTGGAGCTGAAATGGGAGGGAAAGGCTCTAGGACAGACCAGTCAGAGAGAGCCACTTGGGATATTTGTGGCCTCTCTCCATGAGATCAATGAAAACACCCCAGGGTAGCTGTAGAAGCAGGGTCAGGAGCTGCCGACCTGTAAGTTAGCAGTCTGAGCTGTCTACGCTGGGGTCAGCACTCAAAAACCCCAGGACACCTTGTTATCAAAGGGCCCCGCTTTCTCGGGGGTGGAGCTGCAGCTACACAGAAAGAAAATGGCTGAGGTCTCTGCAAAGGTGACAGCAACGACTAAGGAAGCTGAGCCTCCCACACATGTTCAAAGCTGTGGCCATTCTTTGGGCACTTACCCTGTAAGAGCTTCTGGAGAAGGAAAGCAGGTGAAGACATGGGAACAAGCACATGATTAAAAGGAAATAAACCATTCAAAACACTCACACCCATACTTGGCACTCAAGGGATGTAAAGCTAAGGAGGCCTCTACACACACACACACACACACACACACACACACACACACACACACAGAGGGTAGTGTAGGGCTGGGTGCGGTGGCTCACACCTATAATCTCAGCACTTTGGGAGGCCAAGGGCGGAAGGATCACTTGAGCCCTGGAGTGCGAGACCAGCCTGAGCAACACAGAAGACTCCATCTCCACTAATATAATGATAACTTTTTAAAAAAAAAAGAAAAGAAAAGAAAAGAAAAAAAGGCAGACTAAAGTTAATCAGTGAGCACAACTTCAAGCTAGTTCCTTGGGAAGAGCTCACTGGGGAAGGTCACTGGCTGGGGAACCAAGTTACAGCTTCTGTGACTTTGGGTTTCAGGACAATCTAATTTCTCAGTTACCCACCAGCTCCACACTGTGCCCAGCTCTCTGCAGGTTGAGACAAAGAGCTGAACAGCACCATGACTTTGCTGCATGAGTAGCAGAAGGGAGAGGCAGACTGGCAGCCTTTCTCCAAGAAATACTGGGAGCACCCCATCCTCTGCATGAACCCGAGACCCTCCTACCTCCTGAATGATCTGCTTCTGCATCCACGGTCCATCCATCCTCAGCCCCCAAATCTGACAACTCCTCTTTCAGCACCCCATTGCTGAAGGGCACAGTACTTTCTGGCAGTGGTGGGGTGATAGCTTTGTCCCTGGGGCTTGAGCTGGTCTCTGTGCAAGAGTCTTCAATCCCTGAAGTGCTAAGAGAATCTGAGCAGTGTCCTGGGGAAGCCACCAAAGGGACATCTTGGCTACTGTCTGACATGCAGGTGACACAGGTGGCATCTTCCACCAGAATGCTCACCCCGTCCGGCGACTCTCCACCGGGGGTAGTCGGTGGCGGGCAGGGGGCCAGGGAGATGTGGTGTGCAGAATTCTTTGGCTTACTGTCCTTGGTGGGGCTGGACAGAGAGCTGCTCAGACAGCTCACATAGGTCTTTGGTGGTGGTGAGTCCTCTGCCGGGAGGTCTGGTGACAGGAGGGCAGCATCCAACGGGGCAGCAGCTGCCTCTGCTGCGGCAGGCTCTGCAGTGTCTGGGCCCAAGACAGTTTTCTGGTGAATTAGGACACAGCTCTCTTCCTTCTGTCCTTGGAGTTGACTGGCCGAGGCCTGATGCACATGACCTGCAACCTCACTCACCGTGGTGGCCAGCACCTGTTCGGTTGCTTCAGAGATCACTTGGGAGATTATCTGGAAGGCAGCCTGCTCAATCTTCTCATTTCTATCCAAGCTCTCCTCATTGCCCAGTTCCCCCTCGACATCTCTCTCCTGGACTTTGCCGTCTCTGACTGGGGGTGCTGGCACCTCATCGCCCTTCACCAGCTCTGTGTGAGCCAACTCCACGAGGCTACTTGGCAACTTCTCTGCTACATACGCTTCCTTCTGCACCAGCTCCACCACCTGGGGTGGGCTGCTCTTCCCCTTCTCTTCTTCCCCTGCTGAAGGGGCCAGGCTGGAGGCCTTGCTGTTCTCCAATTCTAAGACATGCTCCTGAGACAACAGACCTTCTTCAAGCACATTTTCCCCCAACACAGCATCACCGGTCCCTTCGGCCCCACCAGTCTCTCTTGCCCTCTCTCCAGAGCCATGCTTCTGTGCAGGGGTTGCAGGGTGGCCTGACTGGCCCCTCCCTGGCACCCTGCTGAACGGGGACTCTTGCTTACACACCTTAGTTGCTTCGTGGGGGAATAGTAGACCCTTTGCAGATGAAAGGGGGCACTCTAGAGGAATTGACTTGGCTTCGCCACCTGTCAGGGCTAGCTCCAGCTTTGCACTGTCGTCTCTGCGTGTTCCTGGTCGCGATCTCATGTCTGTGGTGTTAGGAAGGCTGCCCGAGGACTCCGATTTTCGGCAAGGTGGATGTGTCCGCAGCAATGCTGGGGGCTCTGCAGGCAGCTTGTTCAAGGCGGACGGCTCCTTTTCTGGTGGTTGTGTGACACTGGGGGGTGTGGATGCTACTTTGGGATGGACATCTTCCATGGGGAGAGGTTCCCTGATGGCAGGGTCAGCCCTCAGCTGCACAGCACCAGCCTCCACCTGCTCATCATGGCTGCTGACATGGCCTTTTTTACGAGAGAAAAACCACCACCAGCCAAGGAGCACCAGCATCCCAGGCAACGCCAAGGGGAAGAGCGAACGGAACTGGATTGCCATGCTGGAGGTCTGAAGTAATTACACCTGGGGAGAGCAGGAGAGTGGGGAAGAGGGATGTTACAGAGCCAGGTAGGAGGATACTGGTGACCACACATGCAAGACAGTCAACGGGGTAAGGCTGGAGCCATCTCCCCCACCCTCCTTGCCCTCCAGGAGGAGCACACCTCTCAGCCTCTACCAGCCCACCCTCTGTGTGAACCACTTCGGTGAGTGGCCAGGAAGAGACATTTTCTCCTGCATGCTCCCCCAACTCATGCACCCTCTTGAAACAAACAGAACATTCTGTTCTTTAACCCAAACCCCTCCCTTCCTCACTTCATGATGCCAAATTCTCCCTATGTTCCCCAAAGGGGCTGGCTCTGCCCAGAGTGGCTCTGTTCTCTAAACTTGCAGAACATTTTTATCTATCAAGTGGCATCCGAGCATTTCAAATCCCCATGGAATCCACATGTACATGGGTCCCTCACATCTACCCACAGAATCATGAGTCAATGAACTGGCACTCTGTTACTCAGCAATTAGAGATGGTGAGAACGAAGGGGAATAAAATTCCAAATGGCTAAGGAGATGGGCGAGGGACCAACACAACACACTGCAGCATGAAGGTCCAGTTCACTCGGAGGACTGAAGTACAGGCGGTCCCTGTTCTTCCATGGCTCAACTTACAAGGTTTCAACTTTACAACGGTGTGAAAGTGATACCCATTCAGTGGAAACTACACTTTCAATTCTGGATTCTGATCTTTTCCTGGACTAGCCATACGTGATGTGACACTCTCTCACGATGCTAGCTCCTAGTCGGCCACTTGGTCACAAGGGTGCACAACAGGTACTCCAGAGTGGACTCTGTTGCTAGGTGATTCTGCCCAACTGTGGAATAATGTGAGTGATCTCCGCTCGTTTAAAGTAGGCAAGGCTAAATTATGGTGTTCATAGGTTGGGTGCATTCCATGTATTTATTTTCGATTGATGATATTTTCAGCTTACAATGGGTCTACCAAGATGTAACCCCACTATAAGCCGAGGAGCATCTATGGTGTCATGGGGTCAGTGAGGGTGTCCTAAGACCCCACACTGTGTAGTCTGGACTTTATCCTGTAGACAACAGAGAACCAGCATAGGTCTGCAAGGCATACACACCAAATGGTTTCTAGAAGGCAATTCTGGGAACAGGATGAAAAGTGTACAGAGGCCAGGTACAGTGGCTCAGTTTGTAATCCCAGAACTTTGGGAGGCCGAGGCGGGCCAATCACCTGAGGTCAGGTGATCAGCCTGGGTAACACGGAAAAGACCAGCATGGGTAACACGGTGAAACCCCATCTCTACTAAAAATACAAAAATCAGGGTGGTGGCAGACACCTGTAATCCCAGCTACTCAGGAGGCTGAAGGAGGAAAAGCACTTGAACCCGAGAGGTAGAGGTTGCAGTGAGCCAAGATTACTGCACTCCAGCCTGGGCGACAGAGCAAGACTCCATCTCAGAAGAAAAAAAGAAAAAGGCCGGGCGCGGTGGCTCAAGCCTGTAATCCCAGCACTTTGGGAGGCCGAGGCGGGTGGATCACAAGGTCGAGAGATCGAGACCAACCTGGTCAACATGGTGAAACCCCGTCTCTACTAAAAATACAAAAAATTAGCTGGGCATGGTGGCGTGTGCCTGTAATCCCAGCTACTCAGGAGGCTGAGGCAGGAGAATTGCCTGAACCCAGGAGGCGGAGGTTGCGGTGAGCCGAGATTGCGCCATCGCACTCCAGCCTGGGTAACAAGAGCGAAACTCCTCCTCAAAAAAAAAAAAAAAAAAAAAAGAAAAAGAAAAAAGAAAAAGACAAGTATATCGAGCAGAAGGAACCTAGAAACCTAAGTCAGTTAGGTCTAAACAAGGAGAAATGATAAGGGCCTAGCGAAAGGCAACAGACAGGTAAAAGGGATAGAAAACTCAATTTTTCCTCATCTGTAAGATGGGGACACAGCTCTTAATGGATGGTTGGCATAAGGATAAGCTAAGATATAGAAAGTTCTTTGCAAAGCAGGGTTAATGCTCATTGAAGGTATATGACAGGCTTATTCTGCAACACTTAAACTCAGTGCTTCCTATGCCAGCAAACTTTAAATCTCTCTGCCAACGTAATGTCTTTTTAAAACCCAAAGTCCTTTAACTGACAAGCTGCATTACACCTTATTTGGGTTTGTTTTCTTTTAGAGATAACAAATGTACATGTTTTTACAACTTATATTGGTTTAATTGACTTATGTTAATGTTTTCTGGCAGAACTAGAGCATCAATACTTTTAAAAGCTCCCTGAGGCCGGGCGCGGTGGCTCAAGCCTGTAATCCCAGCACTTTGGGAGGCCGAGGCGGGTGGATCATGAGGTCGAGAGATCGAGACCATCGTGGTGAACATGGTGAAACCCCGTCTCTACTAAAAATACAAAACATTAGCTGGGCATGGTGGCGCGTGCCTGTAATCCCAGCTACTCAGGAGGCTGAGGCAGGAGAATTGCCTGAACCCAGGAGGCGGAGGTTGCGGTGAGCCGAGATCGTGCCATTGCACTCCAGCCTGGGTAACAAGAGTGAAACTCTGTCTCAAAAAAAAAAAAAAAAAAAAAAAAAAAAAAAGCTCCCTGAGTGGTTATAATTTCCAGCCAAGGCTGGGAACCACTACTCTAGGACTCTGCTTCTGAAAGTGTGCTTCACGTACCAGAGATCCTGAATATCAACCAGGGGCCTTGCAGATACCTCAGTCTCATCTCAGACCTGCATTTTGACAAGACCCCTAGGGGATTCAGAAAGGCCTTACAGTTTGTGAAGGAATACTAGGTCGTGGCTTCTGCCCCTAAACTGATGAAGTGGAAGAGAGTGGTAGTGAGAAGGTCACCTTCATTTGAAAGTCCCTATGTCTATAAATAAACTTTCTTGCTGATATTTGAAGCAGCAGCAATTCAGAGCTAGGCAGTGGTCAGGGGTAAGACTTTCTATCAGTTCCTCAGGGAGGAAACTTAGACAATGCTACCATATTGCTTCAAATTCAAACACAGAACCTTGCTAGATTCTTTCCCTTGTATCACTTAATCCTCAACCACCTGTTTGGAATGTATTACTGTATATTTTTTTGAGACAGAGTCTCACTGTCCTTCAGGCTGGAGTACAGTGGTGCGATCTCAGCTCACGGCAACCTCCACCTCCAGGTTCAAGTGATTCTCCTGCCTCAGCCTCCAGAGTAGCTGGGTCTATAGGTGCCTGCTGCCACACCCAGCTAATTTTTGTATTTTTAGTAGACACTGGGTTTCGCCATGTTGGCCAGGCTGGAACTCCCGACCTCAGGTGATCTGCCAGCCTCCCTCCAAAATGCTGGGACAACAGACCACACGCCCAAGCAAAGATATTAACTATCTTAAAGGTTAAAACAGCTCAAGGCATACAGCCAAGGGATGGGTACCTAAATTCTCTTCCACATTAAATCTGGAACCCGTTATTCTAGAACTGTGGGGAAGAGGCATTATACTGGCCAAGAAAAGGGAAGTTTGTATTACCTTTCTGGAGAGCCTTATAATAGCTCTTAAAAGCGCATAACCACATCCTACAATTCAGAAATCTCACACTTTGCATCTTTAAATTAAAAAAACAAAAACAAAACCACAACAAAGAAAAATCCACAAAGCCAAGTGCCTGTGACCCCAGCTCCTTGAGAGGCTGAGACAGGAGGATGGGTGGAGTCCAGAAGTTTGAGACCATCCTGGGCAACATAGTGAGGCTAGTCCCTTAAAAAAAAAATTTGTTTTTAAACTTTTTTTTTTTTTTAACCATGCCTCTGCATAGGTAAAGGTGCCCACTGAGGCATTATTTGAAACAAAATTGGGATTAACATAGCAGAAGAATCACTGCTAGGATGATTGTGGAATCCATGTACATACCAATGTTACAGAAAGAAGCTGATCTCCTGTGCCGACATGGAAAACAAAAAAGTAGAGACCACGATGTGTGTGGAATGTCTAGGTTCACATAATCCCATGGAAAACCTGGGAAGGACACACAACAAGCCATTCCTTTGTAGGAGAGGGGAAGTTTCTGTACACTGATCTTGTATCCTGCAACTTGCTGAACTCACTAATTCTAACCATTTAGAATTCCTTAGTATTTCTTACCCACAGATAGAGTGTTAGTTCCTTCTTTTGAGAGGAGAGATTTTTAATTTCTTTCACAATGGTTCTCCAACTTGGCTCTACATTAGCATCATCTGGTAAGCTTTTAAAAGCCCAAGGCCAAGGCAGCACCCAGCCCCATTAAATCAGAATCTTCCAGCACCAGGGTTGTTTTGGTTTTCTTTTTAAACCCAGGTGATTACAATGTGCAGCCAAGTTCGAGAATCACTGTTCTGACGCCAGGTGTGGTGGCTCATGCCCATAATCCCAGCACTTAGGAAGGGTGGGGTTGGGGGTGGTGGGGTGGGCAGCAAATCACTTGAGGCCAGGAGTTTGAGACCAGCCAGGGCAACATGTGAAACCCTGTCTCTAAAAAAAAAGAAAAGAAAAGAAAATTAGCTGGGTGGTATAGTCCCAGCTGTGCTTCAGAGGTTGCGGCAGGAGGATCACTTAAGCCCGGGATGTGGAAGCTGCAGTGAGCTGAGATCATGCCACTGTTCTCCCTACAGAGTGAGACCCCATCCCGAAAAAAAAAAAAAAAAAAAAAAAAAGAATCACTGCTCTCTAACAACCTGCACACACCCAAAAAAAGTGGTAATGATGGGAGATTTGCTTTGTTTTCAATGTCTTTCAAATAAAAGAGTAAAGATAGGGAAGTCTCTCTAAACCTATTCTGCTTTGGGGCCTACCCAATAAAATAATTTATTAAAAAAGAATAAGGACAATTTGAGACAGGAAAGAGTCTATGGGAAAGGCTGCACTGGATAGGGGAGTGTGCCCAAGGTCTGCTGTCCAGAGATCAAGTCCTACCCAACAGGGCACATGCCAGCAGGAAGTGGAGCTGAGGTCTAAACCCAGGTTTTCATCTGGTCAGTACATTTATTTGTTTG